TGCAGAAAATCTTGACCTTTGATGGACTCTTATTGCAACACAAACATTACTGGAGGACTAAAATTGCAATTTCAGTTAATGAGTAATGTTCCCTACCGACGATGGACACATGTTAATATGTCCATCGCTTATGTGTCATGCACACATTGGTGATGTTAATAAATCAATGTGTGAATGTCATATAAGCGCTGGGCATATTAACATGGGTAGGGGAATGTAAAATTATAACCTTGGATATGGTGAGCCCTTAATAGGCTTCTGCCCGTATTTGCGCCAAGCCCACTTATCAGCAGAAAGACCCTCAGCCGTCACTTGAATCACCACTCTTTTATGCTGATTCTTTCTGTAAATTAAATACATAATTTCAAAAAAAAATATATATAAATAAACAAATTCCGCATACAAATCCCAAAACAAATAGATAAAATTTAGAAACATATAGTATATTTTTTGACAAACCTCTTCTTGTATTTTGGAGTGTAGCCCGCCGTAACCCTAGCGACGAAGCTATTTCCGGACGACTGATCCGAGTACAGATCATCATGAGCCGGCTTATTAGCTTCCTCGCCCGAGCCATCCGGCTTGGCCTGCACTTGAAACTCGATAACGGTTTGGGCCGGGAGCTCGTAAGTATTATTTTGGCTAGCCGTGTAGAACGGCTTGTACAGCCCCTCCAGCTCGTCGCTAGAGCCGGTCGACAAGTCAAACATCTCGGGAAAACTGGTCAACAGGTCGGAGAATGGATCCTGGCCGCCGAATTCCATGTGATCAGCGTTGATCTTTGCAAAGTCGCCGCTCGATCCTCGAACTATGGCCTGCAAGCTCCAGTCCTCCACGTCAGCTACTAATTCAGACATAATCGATCACCGGGTGGCTCTTGATAATTAGAAGGGGAGAAGGGAGGAGATAAGCTTAGCCGCCGCAATTTGACTTTGTCAGTTGTTTTAAAAGAGGGAAGAAATAATGTGTAATGAAAGATTAGTATAAGGAGAGGGTCTGTATATATACTGCAGGCCAAATGAAGGGCCCTCTAAATGCGGTAAAGAGAGCCATTTTTGGGGGTTGACTTTTGGTGGATGTCAACTGGGGCACCACGCGGTTTTTGCACCGATCAAACTCGCCCCATTTGAGTTCTCATGCACCCATTGTTGACTATGGTTCGAAAGCGAGCTAATTAATTGATATTTTAATATTCGTAATTTATGTGTATTTGTTAAAAAAAATAATAATAATAATAATAAAAAGAGTAAGATTTGTCGTTCTGTCTAACAATTAATCCAACTCATACAAATTTGTGTAGTTATTACTTATATGTGATATATTAAGAGAAAATAATAATAATGAATAAATGAAAAAAAAAAACTAAGAAAAATAAGTGATCTCTCATTGTCCATGACTTTTAGAATGCATCAATTGAGAGTGTTTAGCATGTGTAATGTGACTTGTGAGCATGAGCATAACATTTTATTTATTTATTTATTATAATATTTTCTTGTAAATTATAGTGGTTGTTTACCATGCAAAATAGTTTATCACAAATTAAAGTATTGCCTGCGTGAAAAATAGGCAGTTTGGTATAATAAATGGTACGTCAGGTAAAAAATAAAAAATAGAAAATAAATAACTATGCGTTCATTGCATCGCGCTTGCAGTCTTTTGGATTACAGTCCAAACTTCTTGCAAATGTTGGTGTCTCTTCTTCTGGCCTCGCCTTTGATGATGTTGTGAGTGCTTTCAACTTGACTGTTGGGACTGATATCTTGAGTAACCCAAGTGATACTATCGCTGCCCCCCGACTAATGAAGAAATTGGCAGATGTATATTTCACGTAGGTTGTCAAAACAGTTGGCTCTACATACTCCTTGACCACACGGCAGATGGCTTTATGGCAATCTCAGCAGGAGAATCACGCCTCCGATTGGCTCTGTGCTGCCCCTATTTCCGGTTTGGGACAGACTATGAACGGTAGGACCTTCCGCTATGTTTTGTGTTATCGTCTTAGCATTCCCTTATTTTCTATTCCAGCGCCTTGTTCTGCCTGCTCCAGGGTTTTCGAGGGTGATATTTTCGGTGATCATGCTGTGTCCTGTGCTGGTGTTGTTGGTATCAAACATCGCCACAATCTGGTCCGTGACACTCTTGCTGATATTTGTTATCGATCTGGCATATCTGTTGGCAAGGAGGTTGACATTGGCTTGTGTGATGAGAACGACAAGCCCCTCCGTCCTGCGGATTTGTTGCTTTACTCCTGGGATGGGGGACGTGATGTTTGTGTGGATCTGACAGGGTCCTCTCATCTGACACTAACCGGGATGACGAACTTTGTGGCTGGTCGAGCAGTTCGAGATGCAACGCAGCGCAAGCGCACCAAATATTTGGGTAAGTGCGAAACAAAAGGGTATGGCTTTCTACCTTTCTCTTTCTCGTCCTTTGGGGAACTGGATGATGCGGCCGTTTCTCTACTCCGACGTATTCAAAAGTTTCCCTTAGCCCAAGATATTGGAGCAAAAGCTGCTGCTCACATTTATACTAGAATAGGCTTTGCTATAGCCAAAGGAGTGGGAACCCAAATTGTATCTCGGCTGCCCACTAATTTCTTGTAAAAATATTTGTTTCAATTATAATAATAATAATAATAATAATAATAATAATAATAATAATAATAATAAAAAAAATAATAATAATAATAATAATTAATTAATTATTTAATTTATTCGGACACTAATGGTCCTGTTCCAGCACATGTACTACTCATCACGTCCACAATAGTAACAAATTTAACAGCTTAATATATAAAAATTATGCGCATGGCATGGGCGAGTGAGTTTTCGAGCATACCTAATAAAAATACTATTGAGGAATAGGATTTCTATAAATAGGCTTTAAATAATTAAATGGAACTTCTATTTCCATATATATATATATATATATAACTAGCTACTTGGATTGATGAAGCCCTTATAAAGCGCATATAGAAACAATCATTGTTCTTGTTGATTAATTATATATGCATTGTAATAATAATTCCATTCACAAAAAAATCTCAGTGCGTCAATGGATAAGTCGTCTAACTACTAGACAAGTCGATCCGTCATTTTTTATAAACAACTATACATACTTATTTTATAAAATATCATTCTTTTTTAATTTTTTTTTTAGAGTATGATATTTCAGTCTAAATTATACATATGACTGTGAAATTGAATAAAAAGTAAAATGAAATTGCTTTGACAATAAATATATCTTATTCGCACTAAAATATAATTTCGTGTAAATTGAATAAACACCATTTAATTACTCAAATAAATAATTCCCTGCTGAACTACTGACTGAAAATGTTGGACGGTTAATTAAGTCAAGTCTCTATAATTGAAATTAGTTAATTATATGTTTGAGCCATTTTTCAATATGCCCCATTTTGAAGGAAATACATTGTCGTTGCAAATTAATGTGGATTTGATAAATGAGGACACAAAATTTAAAACAGTGTACGAAGAATATAACTGATTAAGTGACTTTAAACCATGATCGAACAAACCATGAAAACACTTTGCCCAGTTAATATATATAGTTTATTTTCGTGCAGTGGTGCTGTCTTTAATACCCGACAAAAAATTCAATTTTGGTCTGTTTACTTGTTTAATGTCATTTTTTGGTACACTAATTTTTCCTTCATCAATAATAGTACGTTATGTTGCAATTTGAATCAATACTGGGACATTATCGTGCAAACGGTTCATTATTTTTCGAGATGAATGTCTTAAAAATATTACATGTTGCAACATAACGTACTGTTTTTTTATGAGTAATATCCCGAAAAATGATATAAATTACGACATAACGTACTGTTATTGATGAAGGGAAAGTTAGTGTACCAAAAAAAAAAAAAAGAATTTAGACAAATAAACGAAACAAAATTAACTTTATAGGCACCAAATGGCCTAACCATATAAAAGGCTAAAAAACTTGCCCAAACACAAGAAGTATCTTCTGATACATTTTCATAGTTACTTCCTTTTTTTTCAGGTAGATTTTTAAGTTACACCTCAGGAAAGTTGTGTGTTGAATGGGTGAAAATTTCCGGTTCAATAACGCGTGGTGTTGATTTTTTTAATTCGTGGATATATAATAAACTATGGATATATTTTACAATTATATATAATTCGATTTTGATGGTACTGTTGGATTGAAAATTCGTAACAACTAAGCATAAACTAATATTGAATTAGTCAATTATTTGACTATACGGCCATGATATATCAGATATTTTCTTGTATAATCTAGATACGTATATGTGTGATTTAAATAATGATTGTATATGTATGATATAACTAATGGTTAATTGTATTTGATTAAGAGAAGTTTATTAGAAGCATATTGGGCCCAAATTTTACTTAGGTGGCAATGACCTAATTGTTTGGATGTCATATAATACTAGTAAGTAGAAATAGTTAAAATTATTCTAATGCAAATAGATCGGGTCTCTACTGTGTTTGTGTCTCAATTAGACTTAATGGTAGATAAAGTCTGGTTTTTTATTCACACCAGCTAGCTTTTATTTACATTGGAAAGCGTTTGTTTTTTTGTGAGTGTTTCCTATGTAGCATATAGTTTTTTTGAATAGATTCAAAACGAAACGAAGCGCAGTGAAGTTATAGAAAATAGGTTCGAATCCTCCTACTCCTGATCCGGATCCGTTTACTCTTGTATCCTGGATGCGTTTGATCAATCACATCCCCTATTTCAGTGGTTTGATTAAGAAAAGTTAGACAATTAGCTTCTTTTTTTTTTTTTTTTTCTTGTTCCAATACAGACTATTATTTTTATTTTTTTTTTATTTTTATTTTTGGATAGACAAGATTGCATATTCTTATAAATGATATGTTTTTATGTTTAAATTATTAATTATATTTACCACTAATTATGCATATACTATTTTTCAATTTAATTTTTAAGTAGATGATTGATCAAATTAATCCTTATTGCTAAGCTAAAATATTGTTTAAATAAACCTTCAAATAAAATTTACATAGTATTAAATCATTAATGAATTTATTGGTCATTTTACATCATTAATTTGTTGTCACCTATTAATTATTTACCAAACATTTTCTTAATATCAGACAAATAAAACATGTTGGCTATCATCTAATATAATCCTCTATCAATCCTCCCTATATGTTATTTCCGAACGCGCTGAGCCTACGTGGCTGTTTCTGGTGCTTCAGAATCCTACTTGACAAAAAATCATGCTTCGTAATTAGGTTTAGACAAACTAGTACGTACCCCGTGCAATGCACGGGACATAAATATTAAATGAATTATTTTCAGACGACTTTGTTCGTTTAAGTCTAAAAATCAATACGGTTATCATATATTTTTCACTTGTATATTAGGGCTACCTTGTAAAATAATTAATATATTATCTATACATATTTAATTCTTTTTTATCGGTTATACATATTTATTTCTTAATTTGAAATTAAAAAATATTTGACCCGTTGAGTATTAAATCAACACTAATTAATTTATTAAGCAAGTGAAGACGCAAAGCAAGACAATTTAATTATCCAGCAATTTAGGGTAATATATAATTATTTCTTTTATTAAACATGATTTTTAAAAATAAAACAACATCAGCCCCAGATAATAGGCAACGTTCATGGTTTTGGTTGAATACCAATATAACAAAATCTTTAATTAATGGGTAACATAAAATGCTGCCTTTTTTATTAAAAAAAAAAAGAAAGAAAAAAGGAAAGTTACTAAGAATGGAATGTAATTAATGCAAAAATGATTTTGACCAAAATTTGACCTGCTATTTTTGAAAAATGGTAAATCTTTTTATATATATATA